TTTATATCTCGCAATTGTGACTTTATATCTCGCAATTCTGACTTTATAACTCGCAATTCTGACTTTATACATCGCATTTCTGACTTTATACCTCGCAATTGTGATTTTATATCTCGCAATTGTGACTTTATATCTCGCAATTCTGACTTTATATCTCGCAATTGTGACTTTATATCTCGCAATTCTGACTTTATATCTCGCAATTGTGACTTTATATCTCGCAATTCTGACTTTATATCTCGCACTTGTGACTTTATATCTCGCAATTGTGACTTGATATCTCGCAATTGCGAGTTTATATCTCACAATTCTGTGAAAAAAAGTCAGAATTGCGAGATAAAAAGTCGCAATTACCTTTTGTCGCAATTAACTTTCCGTGGCGGAAACGGGCTTCCATAGCACACAGCATAACATATGAATAAAATATAATTTTTCACAAATGTTATTTTTCCATTTTTTCTTATGCTCTAAACAATGTAATGACATGAAAAAAAAAACTAAATTCACAAAGCTTTTTGTTCTGGTTCTCGTGAGGATATAACTAAGGTCACTGTCGCAAATGCTATTAGGTCAGCATCGTCGCTCACCACCCAAAAGTCTTTAGCTAACTTTAATTGGCATAGGCTACTGAATGAAGGTTCCCACGGTCTTTAACCTTGTATCAGGAAGTTACTTAATGATCACACAAATCAAACGTATTTTGTGAGATCTGTTAAAGTTTATTAACACATCCCGTTGGCACTTTGAGGTGATGAATCTCCGGTACCGGGGGATCTCTAGCGAACGCGCTGTCATTCCGGTGTTCCGGTGCGCGCGTGGCGGGAGGGGAAGGGCGGGCGTCGCGCGCCTCGGCGGGTCCGGTTTAGATCACATCACTTCGGAGTTTCTCTCACGCGTTTCTCTTCATCATGGCGCGATGCGCTCCTGACACCCGTTCCGTTCCGTTCCCGTGATGCGCGGGATGATGATGATGGTGACGGATGAAAGATGGAGAAACTATCCGCGAGCATTAACGGACTCTCGTGGAGCTCCGTGTCGCTGCCGCTGGATGTGATCGTGAGCAAATTCCGCTTACCGACACTCGTGCGGCTGAGCCACGGTAAGAGACCGTCAGAGTTACTGAACGCTGCTATAAACTGAGGCGAGACGAATCTGAGCTCATTAGGATCGGGTTGTTTGACGTTGTTGCGCAAAAGATTCTTCAGCTTCTTGCCGAGTCAAAGTTAGCGGGATAAGAAACATCACATTTCGCTGGCTTATTAATGAACTTTAGAGTCTGATTATGCAAATGAAGTCTGGAAACACTTGAAATAGTTTGACAAACGCTGATTTAGTCACAATTTGGATCGTATAAAATGATGCACACTTTCATGAAACGTTGTGTCAATGTTTGTAACACAGAATCCTCAGTGAAGTGTGTAGTTGATCTGTCTTTTGGCTAAAGGTGACAGAGTGTGTGTTGTGTGTTAAAGAGCTGCAGCTCTTTTCATATGTTAATGTTGTAATGTGCTGTAGT